GGAAAGGGAAGGCAATATGTAGCAGGCTGCATCAATAGCGCCTCAAAATAAAAGAAAATGAAGGTTTTGGGCTTATGATGGTGTAGCCCCAACTAACAAAAGACTTGATCAAGAAAATTGTATAACTTTTATATTATATCAAAATTAATAAAAATAAAGAGCACATTTCATAGAAATTTTATTTGTTGCTTACACTTTAAAAGATTTATTTTTTTTCCTACACAAAAAAAGATTTAGCTATGTCCTTAAAGTATTTTAAATTAAATAAATATGCCCTTCAACTCTTCATCAATAGTTTGGCTTATATATGACCTTATCATTTTGAATGCGTTATTAGTCTAATGAAACATTTGATTAACCTCATTTGTTGATTCATAAGTGAAAAAATTATCAAATATACTCTGACAACGATAAGCATAGAAAGAATAGAATATTTGTAGACCTTATCACTATCTCGTAAAGTTAGAGAGTCTGTTACGTCGTAAAGTTGAAGAGTTCATTGGCGCAAAAGGATCGGTCCTTCACTTGCTGATCGTTCGCGAGTCGAACTCGCTCTCTTGCCACGCCTTTCACTCACTCGCTTAAGTCGGACTCAATCACTCTTTGAGTTTGGAGGATTCACTCTCTTGTTATTACCCGCAGGGAGCGCATGTTTCCGCAAATATGTCCCTAAATTTATCAAATATGTGCTCAATTTCAAATACTTTGAGGGTATATATGACTTTTCCATTTTCACTAAATTTATTTGAACAAAGAATATGAATACATTTTGATATCCTTCTTCCTCATTTGTGGATAACCCAATCCATAGGCTTGCAGTTTGCTCCTTCACTGCAAAAATGGCTACTTCTTCTTCTTTATCTTTCTTTTCTTCCACCATTTTCTTCTCTAACTCCAACACCCTTCACTCCTCAAAGCAGCAGCAGCAGAAACAACTCATTTTCAAACCCAAACAACAACAATTCTCCATCCGTTCAGAGGCCGCCGCCGCCACTATTCCAATTCTGTCCTTTGATGGTACCGAAGTGGGCTCCACCACTCTCAACTTAAAATCCGCCCCTCTTGATACCGCACGCGCCGTCGTTCATCGTGGGCTTACCACTGACCTGCGCAACCAACGTCGCGGTACTGCTTCCACCCTTACCCGAGCCCAAGTACGGGGTGGTGGTATCAAACCATACCCACAAAAGAAAACGGGTCGAGCTCGACGTGGGTCGAACCGAACTCCTTTACGACCAGGTGGTGGGGTTGTGTTTGGGCCGAAACCTAAGGATTGGTCAGTTAAGATTAACAAAAAGGAAAAGAGACTCGCGATTTCTACTGCGCTTTCGAGTGCTACACAGAATGCCATTGTTGTGGAAGAGTTTGATGATAAGTTTGAGAAACCGAAGACTAAGGAGTTCATTGATTTGATGAGAAGATGGGGATTGGACCCAAAAGAGAAATCTTTGTTTTTGATGACGGAAGTTTCAGACAATGTGATTCTCTCCAGCAGAAACATTAGCACATTGAAGATGTTGACACCCAGAACTTTGAATCTTTTCGACATATTGGATTCTGAGAAGCTGGTTTTCACTAAATCAGCTGTGGAGTTCTTGAATGAACGATACGGAAATGATGATGATGATGATGATGACTGGGAGGTGGTGGACGAGGAAGAAGAAGATGGTTAGTTTTTGCTTCATTTTGGGTATGAAGTTTCCTTTCAATTTTAGCTAACTCGTTAATTTGCTGCATTCAGGTGGCGAGGTGGAGGAGAGTGCTGAAAGTTCTGAGTAATATATGAACATGGGGCGAAAAGGGTCTGTTCCATTTTAGAGGAGGCTTTACCTTACAGGGAGCTTAGTATATTTCACTTTGAATTGTATTTTATTGTATGATAAAACTAGGTGATTTTGGTTGATTTCATGTCACTGACTGCATTTGTCCATTACCTTCGTTGGAATAGTTTACTCTTGATTTTCGTTCCGCTCTCATTGCCACTTTGAGTTCTTGATTTTTATGATAAGAGTGATTAGTTTACTAATTAATTCTTGTGTTCTGGCAAAACTACATTAATTGCTTAGTAGATGAAGCTTTATATAAGATTTATGGGTTACAAGTTGTCAGCCAGGCGAGATTCAGCAAAGTAAAATGATTAGGAAAGCTTTGTGTTTGAGTCTTAGGCTTGAAGCAATTAAGCAAAGTTAAGAAAAGGAAACCTTTATTTGGGTGGAAAAAGCTTCATCACCTTTTTCTTTAATACAAACACAAAGTAATTGGCAGGAAAAAATGCTCTTTACTTTGTTTTGAGTCATTGGGGGCATATGGGATGCTAAGCATTATTAACCTTGAAACAGACCATATCTAGTAGACTATCTATGGAGGCAGATAACTTGGACATTTGTACTATCAAAATATGTGATGGAGAGTATATGAGTATCTCTAGGCTTTTACTAGAACTTTTGAGTTTAAGCGCTAATTGCTACTCTGCTTTTAGCCTCAAAATAGTTTGAGAATGAATCAATGGATTGCACAAACTATCTCATTGATCAATTTTACATATTTCAAAGCCAGGCTGTTTAAAAAGCAAAAGAAGAACAAGAAAAATGAAAAATTTACATTGTGGAGGGCTATGCTACACTGATGTCTGGAGAAAAGAAGTCAATGGTTTGTATAATGGCATTGAACTCATTTACTAGTCAAATATTTAACACGTGACGCTGAAACTTAGTTGTCTTAATTTTTCCATACATGATCTTTGGTGTAGTTTAAAAATTGTTATTATATTATTCAGAGACTGCTTCCAATTTGGCTATATACCATCATTTACTATTTAGTCTTCACACAAATGGCATCACTTTTTGTCAAGCTTGGTAAATGCTATGAAAAATACAATAGCAAACTTCAGGATTCTAGCAGCAAGCATGTCTAGCTTTGACATCCTTAGTGTAGCATCCTTAGTGATCCACTTGTCAGTAGGTTTAAGAAGAGCAAGGGTGCTTGTATTGAGCTAACTCGACTTCAAAGGATGGGTTATTTGCAATGATGTCACTGCCAGAAAATTTTGGCAAGCCACATGGAAATTATTATCAGAAGATACCCTTCGGGAAGAAAGAATATTATTATGGACTAATCCAGGTACAAATATTAACCTTCTTATTTCAAGTTATGATATGATTTTATTTTACATAATTGTTGTATGGAAATAAATAGCCTTACTAGCGACGAGCAGATGTCATCAAAATACTTTGTACTCTAGTGATCTTGACATCAATCAAAACTCTAGAAATGCATTTAATATGTCTTCTCTGTCACAACAGTGGGTTTCTTTTCTGTTGTTCCTACAATGAGTAGATTACAATCTCTGCCACTTTCAATTCTTTCTCCTTTTAAAAACTGCGAGAATATCCACTAAACTATCAGCAAGTTAAACTTAAATTGTGTAACTTTGTTCATAGTCAGACATCAGTTTGACTGACACATGTAGAAGAAACTAGAGGGGCAGGAAACACAAGCATGAGAGATGTCATTAAGAGATATATTTTCTGGTTTGTATCTGATAGTTCTTTATAAATTTGAAAAAAATGTTTTAGTTAAAGAATATTTCATCCCTCTTTGCAGTTGGAAAAAGTTTAATGAGGAGGATTTAGTTTACCTACAAGTGGCTTTTGGTATGGTAGATGGTTTGTCCCAGGGGGAGGGGCGAGAGGGTGTTCATTTGAGCCCCTCGGCAAGGTATTACAGCCTATATAGGGTAGATTTTTTGTGTTCATGTACATTTATAAATTTTGAATCATGTGAACAATATGCAAAAGGTTTGGTCAGCGGTCCAAGGCATTCAAAATGCACCCTTACGTCCAAGATTTGATTCTTAAGGACTGCATTATTTTTTAAGATTATTATTTTTCTAGCCGCCTAACTGAATACCTGAGCTCTTACTCCTCCTAATTGGTAATATCAGAACCAGAACATAGCAAAGATTAAATAAAAATGTTTTGCATGGTTACTTTTAATTGCAGATAGGATGAATTCTTAGGTTGTTGTTCTAGCTTTGACAAGTTTGCTGGGAATGTTTGAGTACATTCATCATGATGTAGGCTCGACATTTTGAATAACTCAAAGTGGGTGACTCTATGATCTATTCTTCTTTTTGGTTCTTTGTCGACAATCTCCATTTGATTATTAGAATAACTCAAAGTGGGTGACTCTATGATCTATTCTTCTTTTTGGTTCTTTGTCGACAATCTCCATTTGATTATTTGTAGTTTTGTGCTAAGGTCTTTGTGAAAGAAAGTAAATTGAACGAGTGACAAAGGTCAGTCATAATTTTTCGGCAGAGATTGAATCATTGAAGCATCTGCATCACAATTATCAAATCCAAACTTTTATAGTTTCTGTTAGGGTGTCAAATAGGAATTTGGGCGGGTCAAAGTTACTTGGGTTGAAATGAATTGGGCTTAAATGGGGTAAAAACTAGATCATAACTCCACCCGTCCAACTTTTACTAAATTCTAAATTTTTTGTTTGATTTCTTATAAATTGTTTAAACTACCTAAATCAATTTGTTTTGTTTTATTTTGACTATATCCAAATCAAATAAAAATTGTCATTCTTAAAACTATTAGTTAGTTTCTCATGAGTCAATTTTGGTTGCCTATTAGCCCAATTTTTGAATAGACAGAATTGGGAGGGTCAAATGGGTTGAACTAATAAAATAAGCGGGTTGGGTGGGTCATTAGCCCGCCAAACCTAAGCGGGTCATGATTTTGTAGGCTGGTTTTGCTACCCCTAGTTTCTCTGAATTCACGAAGCTTTTCAGAAGTTAGAAGGTTTCCTTTTAATAAGTCTTCCCATTCATGAGATTTTTTTTCTTTCCTAGCAGGATCTTAAAGACAAATCGCTAATATTATTCAAAAGAGGTATGAATGTGATAGTGTAAAGAGTTTGAGATCTAGAGAAGTACTCATATATTTCTTTTTCAACAATTTGGATGAAGCTTTTCTCTTATCCAAGTAAGTAATCCTCTTTCTATGAATACTTTAATGAGCAATTTACTTTTGCCTTCAACAATGAACTGCTTTTGTATGTGGATTTGGTAAACTTAGCTGGAATACATTGAAGTTACAGATAATTTGTGTCCATATCCATTTGGTCATCTAGTTTACCAAATATGGCTCAAGTACTCATTTATTACCTTTATTTTATTTACCAAACCAGCTCAAAGCTGAAGTGCAGAAAAAGCCAAGTTATTGCAAAATTTGCGGAAATTCACTCTATAAGGTAGGGCTTTAGTCTTTCCCTAGAAGCTCTGATTGGCAGGTTAACGGTTAACCCCGAAATAAGTTGATCGATCCCCCCCCCTCCCCCCCCCACGTAATTGACCCCTAAGCTCGGGGGAATCAGAAACTATTGCATCTTTTCTAAACCGTCACTCTCCCTTAATTTCCGCAATAACTTTTGCATATGAAACTTTTTTTCACGTGGTTTTGGTCTCTTTTCAATTGTTTAACAAAGGGAACAAAAAGAAAAGCCTTAGGATGAGTCATCAAACGTCTTAGCCTAGAAAAAGCTATCAGAAAGTAAGCCAATGAGCTAATGGTGACTAGCCTTTGATTGAAGACCGGGTCGGTATAAAGGATAGGCTAGTCCAGCTTGATTAAAGACTCTCCCTTGATTTCCGCAATAACTTTTGCATATGAAACCTTTTTTCACGTGGTTTTGGTCTCTTTTCGATTGCTTTACAAAGGGAACAAAAAGAAAAGCCTTAGGATGAGTCATCGAATGTCTTAGCCTAGAGAAAGCTATCAGAGAGTAAGCCAATGAGCTAATGGTGACTAGCCTTTGATTGAAGACTGGGTCAGTATGAAGATAGGCTAGTCCAGCTAGTTTCTATAAAAAGCTAAAAGGAGCCAAGTTTTTGTAAAATCTAGTCCCCAAGCTCTATTCCCTTCTTTTTCTCTTCTCATTTGCCGCTGCCGCAGACCATTACTTCAACATTGTTTGTTGCCTTCTCTACAGTGGTTGAAAATCACCGCCACCGATCGATAACCTCCGTTCACGTTCAAGGGACACCACTTGAATCGTCTTCTTCTCCTCTACCAAGATCCATAACTCAAAACCTTCAATTCACTCTATCACGAATTTCAGAATATCTGAAATCTCTAGTTACTCTCTTCTCAAATTTGTGAAGCTACCCTCATCTCCACCATACAAAAACCTACATAAATATATAGATCTTGGACGGATCCATCATTCGGCATCGGTTTCGGTACGAAACTCCGACAACCAATTTTTGCATCGAGTAGCTGGCAACCATTGTCCTCGATCATATCATGTCAAGGTATGTGTTAGTTATCATAAGTTGTTAATGTTTTGTGTTGAACGAGCTACATCATAGACCTCCCAATGCCTAGATGAAGAAGCACTCTTTTTTTAAAAAAATTACATAGGGGTAGGGAAGGGGAAATTGGGGAGGGGATTACAAGGTGGGAGAAGTACCTCTTCCACTGACTAGTTTCTTCCTTCTCCTTTACCAAGATCGTAACCCAAAGTCTTCAAAATCCACTCCATCTCCACGAATTTCTGAATACACGAAATCCCTAGTTTCTTCCTCAAATTCGTGTACGCTCATCTCCACCACACAAAACCTACATAAATGGATAGATCTTGGACGGATCTATCATCTGGTTCAGTTTCAGTATGAAACTATGGCGACCAATTTTTCCGGCAAGTCACTGACAACCATTGTCCTTCATCATATTTTGTCAAGGTGTGTGTCAGTATGTTTTGTGTATGAACATCATCATTGACCTCCCAATTCCCCAAAGAAGAATGTATCTTTTTTTTTAAAATTACAGAGGGGGTAGGGAAGGGAAAATGGGGGAGAGGATTACAAAGTGGGAGAAGCACCTCGTTCTCTCTCGTCAAGCCACAACTTTTTTTTTTGGACAATTAATTTTTTTTATTAAAATTGTACAAAGATGGTGCAGAGAAGATTACAGGACCTAAGTGGCATCTCTCACTCCAAACATACTACATAGATTCCCTTAATGAATACAAAAAGTTCCGAAGACTTATCCATCCTATCAAGAGAACTTCTATAACACCAAAAATACAAGTTCTTTATACATTTGTTTTTGAATCTAGGTATCTGCAGCTTCTTCCCCTCAAAGCATGTCTTGTTTCTTTCCAACCATTACATATACTCTCCAAAAATATTGTACACCGGTGGTGGATCCTTAAAAAATGCACTACTTTTCAAGGATCCGACACACACTCAATGACATTTTTGAAGAGTCCAAGGAACATAGCGTATAATAGTGTATCATGATGTGTGTGTAATATCTAATAGTTTATCTATTGCATATACATTTTCTTAACGTAGTATATGTAATGTATAGGAGTGTGTAAGGATGCATATGCAATATATATGTGTATATATATGCTGTTATGTAGATTTTTAAAATGAAAATTAGAAAATATGAAGAGGGTTATATAGTAGTTTGGGGAACAAGGTTATAAAACATTAAAATAGATTTGGTTACATATGTTGTCTTTCTAGTTATAGAAATTTGTTGGGTTATATTCATTGTAAGTTGTTTGTTTAGGCAGTACATATGGTTAGGTATCCCTTTAAGTTACATATAGAAAACCAAGACAATAGTTTGCTACTTGGTAACCTTAGCCTGGAATCTGTGAGTAGCTAATGAAACCGATTCTTGAAATTTTTTATGGATTCATCAACCTTCTCTAAATTTATTGCACATAAAACTGTTCTTATGGCAATTATCAACGATGGTAGATCAAATGGTTAAACTCTTACTATTGACCAAATAGTAGAACTTTAATGTGCTTAAGAAGAGAATATGATAACAATTTATTGAGTATGATTTTTTTCTCTTTAATATTACAGGGCATCACGTGGGTACTGTAGTAGTTAGACTTTGATTTTAGATTAGTGTTCCATCTGTGAATAAGGGCACAAGTCGAAGGAAATTTTGGGCATCTTTCCTTTTTTTATAACAGTGATGTCTGACCCAACTTGCACGTACCTCGACTATTTTACCGGGTACTTGTTATCTTTTACCAACATAGGCACTGGAGTAACTCTGTCATCAAGACAGGAGTCATCCGGCATTTTCTCTCTTGAACTCAAGTCTCCCAACTCCTATGGTTTTCGGTACTTCATTGACCACTAGACCAAACCCTCAGTGCACACTTCCATGGAACTTGTATAGATGCTAAAACCCCATTGCAAATCCAAAAGATTTGATATTGCTGCTATTATCTCTCTTATGTGTTATTTCTCTTAATCATTAGTGTTGATTGTAGTAGTCCTCGAAAAACTTAGTTGATAGAGATTTGCATTATTAGCACTAGCATCACAACTTTGCTTATTCAAGTTTTAGTAGCAGCTACAAAGGAGTGCAGAGTGGAGAACTCCACAATTTGTGGTAGAAAAATGCTACACACCAATGGTTTCAAGTGTAGAAATGCAATAGAAGTTTAATCCACTATGTCAACAAAGTCTCATATTTGTGACTTTGTCATTCATAAACCATTTACTGTAACAAGTCAAAGTCACATAGAGCTTATTCCATAGACAGTCTATTCACCATTCTATAATTATGCACTAAAAATATTTGTTTTCATGTTGCAGGTTCCAAGTTGGAGCAGCTGTGGTGATCTTTAAGGAACTTGGCAACCAGAAGCAGAGTGATCACAGCCAATGGCAGCTTTTCCCTATTCACAAGTTGAAATAATGCGTTTTGAGAGTGCTGCTGATTTAGCTATGTAATGATTTGCTCGGTAGTTTTCACACAAATGACGTCACTCTTTGTTGAGCAAGGTGATGCCATGAAAACTACAAAAGTGAACTTCAGGATCCCAGCAGCATGTATGTCTACCTTTGACATCCTTAGTATAGCACTTGCCATGTTTCTCAAACACGGAGTTCTTGATCCACTTAGGTTTAAGAGGAGCAAGTGTGACCACACCGAGCTAACTCAACTTCAAAGTTGGACTAGTCACAACGGTGATGGCTATGCTTTCTGTAGGAATCGTGGAGCACTATTGGCTTACTCATGCTATAAATGACGGCAAATACAGTGAAGGCTCTAGCTCGGTAAAGTTACCCTTGCTCTTGTTAAACCTATTGACAAGTGGTCAAGAACTCTGTGTTTGGGAAGTATGACAAGTGCTACACTAAGAATGTCAACGGTAGATATACTTGCAACTGGAATCCTGAAGTTCGCTATTGTAGTTTTCATGGCGTCTCCTTGCTCAACTAAGACTGTTTTCATTTGTGTGAATACTAGTGGGTAAATCATTATATAGCTAAATCTCTATTAGCTATGTAATAGTAGTCTTCTCCAACCAAAAAAATTATCTATTAGCTATGTAATAAGAGCTTAACCTATACACATCTTCCATTTGTTTAAAAACATTATCAGGTCTATCAAAGGATATCTACGTTGTAAACCTTTTTTTAAAAGTGAAATTTTGTACTGTTGAAAGTACAAGTAAAAATCTCACTGACCCTCTTTTAAGTCTTAACAGGGAAGAAATAGCTGAATGCAGTCATAAAATAACTTATCATTAATAAGTTACTTTTCCAATGTCTAGCAAGTACTTTTTGATTGCCCCATGGCCTAATAGTAAGAAATCTAATAATTTTATTGTGATTGTGTAAATAGTCTCATGGTCTTTTTTAAAGCTGAATACCCCATAGGGTCCCCATGACTCAACAACATTGTAAGAGCATTTTTGTGTCAATTATTTGGTTGTGAGTATTAAAAGAAAAAGGTAGGTGAAGCTTTTTCCACTCAAATAAAGTAAACCCTTTTATTAACTTATGCTTAATTGCTTCAAGTCTTTAAGTATTTGTTGCTTAAGCACATAGCTTTCCTATTTATTTTACTTTGTTGAATCTTGCCTGGCTGACAAGTTGTAACCCATAAATCTGATATATGGCTTCTTCTACTTTGCAATTAAAGTAGCTTTGCTAAGACATACTAAGACTTCATTTTGTAAAGTAGGTATCTATTATCATATTAACTCTTTATATTTAGGTATCTATTATCATATTAACATAGATATGAGATAACTTTGATATGGTTACTCTAACCGAGGATCTATCGAAAACAGTCGCTCTACTACATATATATCAGCCTTTGCGGACCTTACTTACTTGTGAAAGTGTTGTATAATTTTGTGTACCAAATATTTCGATAGATGAGAAGAACTACCTAATATTTTGATAGTCGTTTACTTCATTGACTGCTAGATTACCTCATAAAGGTGTGTCACTCTAGGCTAATCCTACATCTTTAAAATAGAGAGGGATGCTATGTATAAAGGGAAACAAGCTGACCCTGACACACATTTTAAAGTTGTGCGGACCTAGACTTAAAGCGGACATCATCATTAACGGGCTGAGCTGTTACAAATGGTATTACAATCACTGCATGTGCTGCATTGAGCAATGGTGTAGGACAAAACTGTAGATGTTTCCTTTTTGTTTCATATTCTTGCAATAACAGTTAATTCAGAACCCCAGCAGCACCCTATACAAGTCCATTCTCTTTGTATTTTCAATTCTGTACTAAATTTGCCTTAAAGTTGACTTGATACAGAGAGAAATTTTAACAGGCAAAAAGTAGAACTAAACAAAGGTGAGTTTATTTTAAGGCTGAATATATCAACAAACACACGAATTGCTACAGCTATATATTTTAATTGAGCATCTGAACAGATGATTATTTTGCGCATTATAACAAATCTCAAAATTTTGAGATGGAAGTGTTGAATACAAGCACTTTATCCTGATGTTCATGTACTCAATCAGGATAGGCCCTCGTTCGAGTATCTAAATAAAATTTACTGACAAGTTTAAGTGCTCGTCCATATATTCCGCCTTATTCTGAATGGTTTCTTTATGTAATGTCATGCCTTAACCAAGTGAACAATGGCTTTTGTTGGTCCCATTTCTTTATAGTATTATTTTAACATTAAAATACCTGCTTAGAAGTTCATTCAACTTCCTTTTTTGATTTTCACAGTGAAAAAGTTCCCTCTCCCATTCAGAAAACACAAACATCAAAAGCAAAAGTGAAAAAGATTACATCCCAAAAGCAACCAAAAAGCAAATTAACACTTTTGACACCAAACCAAAAAAAACATGTATATACAGTCAAGATCCTATTTTTATACTCTCAATAACATGCATACTTGTTCCTCTTCATTCCCAACAAAATGGCAGAAATTGTTCTAGTAGAACCAATTCAAGAAAGTACTGCTAGTACCAGCAGAAGAGCTTATACCACAAGCAATGAAAGAACCTATACAAGATCAATCACTTACGGGCGTGATCATGTGCCTGAGCCCTTTGATAGTGAGAAGTTGCCAGTGACTTTGATTTCGGAGATTCAAAGATTTCTTCGTGTTGCTAATCTTATCGAGTCAGAGGAGCCTCGAGTGGCTTATCTTTGTAAGACTTCAACTAAAATTTTCTTGTGTGATGACTTGTTTTAGCTGTTATACTGAAAGTGGCAGAGTGTCATTCTTGTCTGTGAAAAAGATTATGAGTATAATTCTTTGAATTCGAAGAGGTTACATGTCTGTTTGTATGCAAAAACAGTCAAAAGGATCCACAAGCTAGAGATTTTCCAATTCAACTTTCCCAATACATTTCTGTTAGATATTACTCCCTCCGACCCAAAATAAGTGTTCTTAATCTCATTTCGCACACATAAAGAAAAATAGTAAATATAAGGTATAGTTTACGAAGTTAATCTGTTTATAAGACGTTTCTTGAGAATTGAGCACTATTAATCATAATTTGGGTTTCTCATTCTTCTTCTTAATGTTATATTAGTACTTATTTTCTCTTTGGTGATAAGTGGTTAATCTAGTTTTCTTAATCAGGCCGGTTTCATGCATTTGAAGTAGCACATAACTTGGATAGGAATTCTAATGGCCGAGGAGTACGACAGTTTAAAACTGCGCTTCTTCAACGGCTTGAACAGGTACACTCTTGTTCTGCAGAAAAAAGGATAATTAGTCATTCATTCTGATTGTATAAATGTCCATATCAAATTTTGCTTCAATATGAGCTTTCATGTCTACCTTTAGCACCATTTCATTTCATCCTTAAACTGAATACTATCTAGATTCATGCTATTGAATTGCCACGTCTAACTTATGAACTATAGGATGAAGAAGTTACTCTCAGGAAAAGAAAGGAAAGGACTGATTTACGTGAACTTAGACGTGCTTATCGCGAGTATAAAGAGTTCATAATCAAACATGGTGGGGAGAGTAATCTCGAAAATAGGTAATGATTCCACTCTTTTAGGTATTATATTTGTCAGCAAGAGTGCTGATGTCCACTACTTACTTCAGTAATATTCATGTTTGTGTTCTCTTACTTTGCACAGAGAAAGGCTGACTAAAGCACGTGTCATTGCTTCAGTATTGTTTGAAGTATTGGATACAGTTTCCAGAGCAGCAGGTGTTCAGGTTTTGTTTACGCGATTTCCTTCTCTTAGTACTTTGATTAGCTCAATCTTTGGTTTACGTGCTAATAGAACCTTCCCTGTATCTTCTTATTAGGCTTTAGCTGGGAGTGATCACGATGCCAAATCTGAACTCTTTGTGTCATATAACATTCTTCCACTTGATCAAGGAGGAATTCATCACGCGATCATGCAACTCCCTGAGGTATGTATAGATGAGTTTGGCTGGCTAAATAGTTTTGACTGTGGCAGCTCATATGCAATGAGCTTAATGTTCCACAGGTTAAAATTGCGGTTGCTGCAGTTAGGGATGTTCGTGGGTTGCCTTTCCTGGAAGATTGTCGAAAACAAGAAACCAACCTGGATTTGTTCAAGTGGCTTCAGTTTTGCTTTGGATTTCAAGTACTAACCTTTCTATCATTCTCAGTTCAAATATTATCCATTTCTGTTTGTGTCAACATCATAAAAGCTGGAAATTTCATCATATTTCTTATGGACTTCACAGCTCTATGATATCAATAGTTAATATCACTTTTCTCTTTGCCAGAAAGGGAATGTGGCTAACCAGAGAGAGCATTTAATTTTATTACTTGCTAACACACATGTTCGGCAGACTCAGAAGCAAGTATTAGTACCCAAGGTGCAGTCCTAGTGTTACCTGCCTCTTTCTAGTTAAGATGTCATTTTAATTGACTTTGTTATGCTTACTTTCTGGGTATTAGCTAGGAGATGTTGCTGTTGATGAGCTGATGAAGAAGTTTTTTAAAAATTATACAGATTGGTGCAAATTTTTGGGACGAAAGAGCAATATTAGGTAATAAGATAATCTGTGGCATGACGATAGACTTTGAATTCCTTCTGCTTTCTGACTTCTTTCTTAACATATTTTTCGTTATCTCATGGATTTTCAGGGTGCCATATCTGAAACAGGAGGCTCAGCAGTACAAACTTCTGTATATAGCTCTTTATCTTCTGATATGGGGCGAGGCTGCTAATTTAAGGTTTATGCCAGAATGCTTGTGTTACATGTTTCACCATGTAAGCTCACATTTTATAACATTTCTATAAAGGTGACCCCAAATAGGGATGGACCTGGTTGTTATACCATGTAAATATATGACGCTTGAGTCTTAAGTCAACCCAAAAGCTAGCTCATTAGGGGAGGAATACCCAAAGTCTACATAAGCAAACCACAAGTCTATTCCTCAACCGATTGGGACTCTAACCCACTCTAACACCTCTATTTTATAATACAATGCAAATATGATCGTAAAAAACATATTCTCTCTTGCAGATGGCATATGAGCTGCACAGCATGCTAACTGGTGCTATAAGCATGACAACCGGAGAAAAGGTCATGCCAGCTTACCAAGGAGATTCAGAATCTTTTCTCAACAATGTAGTGTTTCCGGTGTATGATGTCATATATAAGGTACTTCAAAGTTTGGATATGCATTTATCTCTGATCTCAATAATTTCAGTTTCTAACCTTGTCCCTGAAACACTCAAGGAAGCTATGAAAAACGGAAAAGGGACAGCTGATCATTCGACATGGAGGAACTATGATGATCTGAATGAATTCTTTTGGTAGAGCTAACTTTCTCGCAATGCCAATCTTATATTTCAGTTGAGGGACTCCTAAATATGTCAGGAATTTGTTGTGATCCACTGATTGCTTCGCTGTTTCAGGTCTCCAGATTGTTTTCAAATAGGTTGGCCCATGCGTCTGGACCATGATTTCTTTTGCACAGGAACTCCAAATAATGTCAAAGATAAAAAAGAAAAGGTTTCTGCTTCTAACGTTGAAGAAAACAAGGATGCAAATGAAGATGAAGAAATGGGGGTAAGTTACCTGTTGACATTTCAAATTATAGTAAACAGTGTACATAGACACAAGAAAACATCCCGACCTTTCATTGATAATACAAATTTGCTTTTTATCTCATCTCACTGTATCTTGTATTTGTTTTGTTACCGCTTTTCCGTTTCTGCAAAATAAAGAGAAAATGGGCTCAAAACCTT